GATGAGGTAGAGCCCGCGCTCGTCGGACTTGAGCTCGCGGACGCCGCAGGGGACGACGACGGTCGGGGATAGGGACATCAGGGAGAAGCACTGGAGGGGGGAGGAGGTAATCAATGCCCATAAGAGAGATAAAGGGTATTATAGTCTTTAGCTGTGTAAAATTCTTGGGCTTTGTGTTTTGGGGGCTCAGTGCATAGTTATTACGAATTTGGGGGTTTTGAGGGCGTTGAAAAAGTCTTGGGGGTGGGAAGCGTTTTTCTTGTGTTTTGGGGGCTGGAAGCATTTTTCCCTATTTTTTTTTTACGATTTAAGATGTTAGAGTGTTCATATTTTTTTGCAATTTAGAATATTAAAGTGGTGCTTTTTATAATTTATTATATTCCATTGCAAATGTGCAGAAACAATAAGGGGCTGTTTGGTTGGGTTGTTTTTGTTTGAAAGTTATTGTAGCTGTCAGGTTACAGTAACTTTCACTTGTTTAAACTAACAAATATCTAGATTTGGAGATAAATTTTCAAACAAAATAGATTGAGGGTATATACACAAAAATCCGTTTACGAAGAGGAGAAATTTTTTATTTGGCTTCATGATATAACGTGCCAAAGATTGCAACTTTTTAGGTAACACAAAGATCGCATCTCTAAGACTATCAGTATTTTGACTAAACATTCACACGAGGGTGACGAATAAGCAAACAACAGAGAAGTGAGAATGAAATATAGTAGAAATATAGTCGAAACTTAATGAAAAGAGATAATTACTTATTCTAGTATGAGTAAAATGGTACAAATCCTAGAAACTCTAGGAGTAGAATACTCTTGAAATTAATAATAATCAATTTAAAACCCTACATGAATTTGTTCCCCTTGTATAGGGTACAAAACAATAAAAAAATATAAGACTATAGCCTTTTCTTAAAGCTAAGAGAAATCCTTACATAAAAAACTTTCTATAAAAACTAGAAAACTAAAAGTAACCCTGAATTCTATGTACAGTTGAGCTTAAAGACAAATATCTTTGAAATGAATGTTGCAAATTAACTTTATGTATAAAGCGCTTCCTAAGATTTTTAAAAACATATAATAATAATGATTCTATAGAGCGAGTCAAAATATATGATCCTCCAAAATTGTATATTAGAATCCGTCCGAGAATACTCTTTTGCTTCAATCGTCCCACTTTCGCATGATCGTATTTATTCCAAAAACATTAGTTATTGCCACTACATCATTCTCCTCTCCCTAAATAAAACTTATCCTCGAGTTTTGGCTAAAAGAAAAGTGGCCTAATTAGGTGAAACTCAGTCAAATCAGCAATCTTCTTCATCTTAAACTTATAGCAGGTTTTCTTAGGCTGCGATTCCTTATGCAGATGATCTATCATCAAATATCTTTCATGAAATAATTTTAAACGATATGCTTATAAGCATCTGAACCCTACACAAAAAGAAAAGAACCAACCTTCGGCTACAGAATTTTCTAAACTTGGTTCACTTTGCAAAGGAGCAAGTGCAAATTGAAAACCATCGCTCGGAAGTGCAGAAATCTTTTCGTTTTGTAGATGGCTTCTAAATAAAGCTTTGACTCTTGGGATTTCTCATATGAGGACTTATGTTTGAGTCAAGTTCCTCCGTTACATCCTTTGATTTTTTTTAGAGTATCATAGTTGATCATCATTTGGTAGAATAACTGCATCCATGAACTATGTAAAAGTCAAATCAACAACACTTAGTTTCAAGTCCATCTCACAATGTCTCCAGCTTGATACTTTTGTCTATGATGGCTTACTGTGTTGTATTTCAACTCTTGACATTTCATTGATTTTGAAAACATCAATTCAATCTTGGAGCTCAATGACAATATTTGAATAGCCAATTGAAGAGAACTTATTCATCACCAATTGTCTCCGTTTTGTTTTTGTTATTTGTGTAGTTATAACTGTCCTGCTAGCTTTTTTGGATCCATAGTTGATTTCAAAATCAAACAAACTATCTTTCATAGGAACTGTATTAATTAGAAGGAGAAAAATTCAATGCTATGTTTGACTGATTTATCTCTTTTCATAATTGAATTGCCTTGTGACAATTTTGAAATTGAGAACATAAGATTAGGTTGTAATCTGCAGGTAAAAGTCTGTATCACAACTCTCTCTTCATACAATGCTAAGTACTTATCAGTAATTTGTGTTGTAGAATTCAATTGATTTGAAGTTGATCCCATCATGCTGCAACTCCACCTTGCAACTTGTAGGCCACCAAAAAAACTTGCTTTCCTTCTAGGATGGATTGAAATTCGAAAAACTTCTCAATATGGTGAAGCCAATCAAGAAACTCTTCAATGTTGAGGTTACCCCAAAAGTAGGGAAAATTCTTAACCCTAGCACGATAATCAGGACCATGTTTCCATTCATCAACAACAACGTCTTCCTCAAGCACTCCAAAATCCTCAATATCTGAGTTCTCACCACCTTAATTTTGACGTGAGCATGAACACTAGCCCTAGTAGGTTGATCACGAGCAACATCCCAGGCCAACATCCCAGGCACGCACCTCATCATTGACTTTGTTTCGATTCCCTTTGTTTATGGCAGTAGTCAAGTTTCTAATCTCCGTGATGATTTTCTTCAATACGTCGATCTAGGACATCAACAAGTTGCCCAAGATCAGGGGGGTGATTAACTTCGTTATCATTGGTGGCCATAGTAGGAAATAACCTCGCTCTGGCTCTGATACTAACTGATGTAGTGGAAGCATAATCAAAAGAGATTACTACTCAATCTCGTATGAGCAAAATGACACAAACCCTAGAAACCCTAGGAATACAAAACTTCTAAAATTAATAATAATTAATTAAAAACCCTATATGAATTTGTTCTCTTAAATAGGGTATAAAATAATAAAAAAGTACCAAACTATATTTTCCCTAAAGCTAAGAGAAATCCTTACATAGAAAACTTTCTATAAAAATTAGAAAACTAAAAGTAATCCATAATTCCACACGTAGTTGAGCCTGAAGATGAATATCTTTGAAATGAATGTTATTAGGAGTCGCGAATTAGCTTTATTTATAGAGCACTTCCTGAGCTTTCCAAAAATATATAATAATAAATATTCTATGAAGCGAGTCAAAAGATATGATCCTTCAAAATTACGTCTTAGAATCTGTCCGAAAATATTCTTTCGCTTCAATCATCTCAATTTTGCATGACCGGTTTTCTTCCGAAAAACATCACTTAGTGGCTCCGCATCAGAAAGAGAATAAGGGAAATAGTAGGAAAATGACAAAAATAACATTCTTGAATTTTCAACCCATTTTTGGTTTTTTATTTGTTTATGTCAGAAAGTTGATGTTTAATTTGGGGAAGGTTAAACTTGATTTTTGGGTCCTTTAATCGGCTTTGATGCTTAATCTTCTATTGAGGATCCTAAAACTGTACTTCGCTGCACAAGTAAAAAAGGTTAGAGGCGCCGGACGTTGATTTCGTGACGCTCAAATCAATAACTGATTCTAATTAATTTGAATAGGGAAAAAAAAGAGTATAGTCTTGCTGACTTTGTATATGAAACCGCATACATTAGGTTGATAAAAATCACTATTATTTATAGTGTTTATGGGGGCATGTTGGTAAACTTGACCGAGTGTGTGCAGTTCTGGTTCAAACCATACTTTACAAGTGCTGGCGATTAATTGACCGAGTCGCCTTTGTACATTGATGTGATTGTTGAAGTAAAGACGTGTCCAAGGAACTTTGAAGGCTTTGGCTCAAAAGGTCATTAAGACTCTAATACCACATTAATTGTTGATAGTGACAAGGCGGCAAAATGCAGACGCTGATTGTATGTTCATTAAATGTGGTGTAACTTTTGATGAATGCTTGTCAGGTCATTCAACTGCTCGAGACGTGTTGTGTTGGGTCTGAGTGGAGAACGCCATTCGTCTCGAAGTTTGTCATCCCAGAGAGTCTGAATTGGGAGCACCTTTTGTTCAGATTTGGATCACGAGGGGGGTTTCATGTTTATCACCCGCGTTGCACTTGCAAATGCTTGGGAAGTTGGCTAGTTAGTTATTACATAACAACTCTAATTCAGTTTGGTAATTTTCAGGATATAACATTATCATTTTAAAATCTATAAAAACTCCTATTATCAGGGTACCGAAGCGTTCCTCTAAATCTGATTCTGTTCAAATCTGCTTACTATGAATGCGATGGAAATATTTATCATTAGAATCCAAACCCATTAAGGATCATAATTTCCAACTTCCAACTTCCATTGTTTGAACCTTAGAAAACTAAGTGGCTGTTTGGTTGGGTTGTTTTTGTTTGAAAGTTATTGTAGCTGTCAGGTTACAGTAACTTTCACTTGTTTACATTGTTTGGTTGTGCAAAAAAAATACTGATGTGGCAGTTAAAAATCCAATGTGGCAGCTTCTGACCATATCTCCTCAAAATATGGTGTTTTTGGGTGAAAGTTACTATAGCTGTCAGAGTTAGTTTTTAACCTGGTTTCCTGACTACATTAACTTTCACCTAATGAACCAAACGGCCCCTAAATACAAAGTCAATTTACGTAATAATGATCTCACTATTCATTTTACAAAAGTCGAGGTCATGAGTTCCAGAAAATGTGCTAATATATATTTTCCTTAATTACACATCACATAGAACTTGGTCTCAGACGTTCTGGATTTGAATGCAATTAAATCCCATTGGTCCTAATATTGATCTTCCATCTTCCACCTTCCATCATCCATCTTCACCATTAACCAACTGGCGGCTTTTGCAAAAACTATCACTAGATCACCCTTCCCCAAATATTCCACCCAAAAAATCCACCCGCTCACTGACACAAATCGTCGCGGCCCACCTTAACAGTTTCACGAAACGGGTGCATATCTCTTACGCCATCCCGGTGTCATTCCAGCGAAGCAAACGAAACGAAACTGCTGTGTCCGTCCTCGCTTCAAACGAACGCTGTTCGATCCAAATCCGACGGCTACGATCCACGCTGGGCCTCAGCCAATAGAAAACGCGGTCTCTTCTTCTCCAAGAAAAGAAGCTTTCTATTCCTAATTTTCTCGTTGAATTAATTGGTGAGGGCTTAATCCGCCTTCCATTATATAAACCCTAGTACATTCCGTAGCTCTCCTCACCTAAAAATACTTCCCTAAATACCCCTGCGAGAGATGGAAGACAATCGATCGAAGAAGTTGGTGGTTGTTGGCGGCGGAATCGGCGGCGCTTTACTCGCCAAGAGTTTGCAATTCGATGTGGATTTGGTTCTCATTGACCCGTATTGATTTCTTCCCTTTGCCTTTAATCGTTAATTGCTTATGGGTTTCCTTTTTCTTGGTTTAATTTGGGGAAATTGTTGGCTGTTGCTTAGCTGTTTAACTTTTTTTTTTTTTTTGGTGATGGGTCCACTATTTAACCAATATATTCTTGCCTTAATCTTGGTTGTACGAAAAAATCATTCAAGGGGTCTATCTGCAAAAATAAAATAAAGGTGTAGTAAGTTCAAAACATAGTATAGTCAATCTGCAATTAGCCATAAGGAATTATTCTTGTTTTCTTTTTGTTTGTTTGTTTGTTTGTTTGTTTTGTTTTGTTCATGCTCTATCTTTTCAACCTGGAAGCTTGCTAGTATGTTTGAAGGGCTTATATCAACTTGATGAGTGGTGATGTTTTTTCGAACAATTTTGTAACGTTGGGTCTGCATATTTTAAATTAGGGTTTTTTTTTTCCATGAAAACAACTTTTTAAAATATGATAGTTGTACGCGGAACCATCTTCAATTTTTAATTTATACATAAACCATCTTAAAAGTTGGTTTAGCTTGCAATAAACCATTTTAGCTGATTTCTGGTCTAAATTTTCAGTCTATCCTCATAATACCCTTTCCCACGTTTTTCCACATAATTCACCCTTAACCTCAATTGTCACTGTATTCAATCAAAACCTAAAGAACAATTTTTCACTGTAGACCCGATCTGCGTTTTTATTACCAAAACCGACCGAAAATTTTTTTAATTACCAAAATCGACTCGTTTTATGCCACGTAGGCTTAAGCTCATTTCCTAATTAGTCGGGGTTGCCAACCCCGACTGTTTAGGAGTTGTTAAACCGTAATTAGAAGTCTTAAACCTGATTTAATTGGGGTTTAACAATTCCTAAACAGTCGGGGTTGGCAACCCCGACTAATTAGGAAATGGGCTTAAGCCTACGTGGCATAAAACGGGTCGATTTTGATAATTAAAAAAATTTTCGGTCGGTTTTGATAATAAAAACGCAGATCGGGTCTACAGTGAAAAATTGTTCAAACCTAAACCTAACTTACATTCCCAACTCAATCAAACCCTAGAAATGAGAGGCGAGAACGTATTTAGAGGAGGATGCGGACAAAGCCCAGGTCGCGGATTGCCGCTTGGTTGCGAGGTGGGAGGAGAGCTAGGGGAGGATGTAGGATGTAGGGTTAGGTTTAGGGTTGTGGGGAAGATTAGTTGTTGGGAAGATTTCATTTTAAGGGTTTGATTGAGGTTGGGAATGAAGATTAGTGTTAGGGTTTGATTGAGTAGATAGGGGATTGAGGTTGATGATGGGTTTAGTGGGAAAATGTGCTTAATACTTGTATTTAATGAGGGTGTTGTGGGGATTGAGTATAAATTTTGACCAGAAATCAGTGAAAGATGGTTGACTGAAGGCTAAATCTACTTCTAAGCTGGTTTCTTATAAGTTAAGATTTGAAGGTGGTTCCCATATAACCACCCTATTTTAAAAGATAGCTTTCATGAAAAAACCCTTTAAATTATGTCATTCTTGTTGAGGTGGTACATGATTTTTTCATGACTGCTAGAAACCGTGTGGAAATTTTGTTACTTTCTTCTTAGCTGTTTATGAGTCCTTACTGTTTGTAACTAGTATGACTTAACTACTTGGTTAAGACTGACTTACATGAAAATCCTTGATATATTTGGTACTTGATATTTTTCGTACATAAAGATACCAATGTTGCAAAGCGTGATGCCATCACAGTCCCATGACATGATGCATTATGTAGAGTGTTTTTTGGTCTTCAGCAAAAATAAGTCATTATTGTTACATATTATTACTACATAATTTGTATTCCCTCTTTGAAACTTGTCAAATAACGAAGGTAAAAAATATTCTAACTAAACATTTAAAATATCATATAGGATGACAAATTACCTGGTGATAAAAAATTTCACTTTTCATAGAGCATAAACTCCTGAAGTCTTTAAAACTTTATGGCGTTTACTGGAATTTTGAGTGAACATTATGTTTATACTGCTCAAGCAAAAACTCTTGTGTATAAGCTCCAAGATTTCCTAAAGTTTTTTAAACTGTTTTACTCAACAATTTAGCAAACATTATGTTATGTTCATACTGCTCGAGCAAAAATCTTTTGACTCCAAGGCTCTGATAAATTGTCACATTATTTTTTGGATTTCAATGGCAATGGTAGTTGAATGAATGCCTCCTAAATGCCTAACTGCAATAATTAACAGATTGAAAGTTCAAGAAAATTTAGTGAAGTTAACATACCACGTTTTGTAGTTTTCTAAAATAATGTAAATGTTGTAAAAGATAACTATAAATGTGTGTTCTGGTACTTTTATTTCTTCTCGCTCCATTTTTTTCCTTTACAGATTGAAAAGTATATTGCTCTGTGTATATGTGACCCTTGGTCTTTATTGACATAATTTCTTTCTTCTCTTTTGCTTTGATTACAGGAAGGAATATTTTGAGATTACTTGGGCGGATTTGAGATCTATGGTGGAGCCATCATTTTCTGAGAGAATACTGATTAAACACACTGATTACTTAGTGAATGGGAGAGTTATTACGTCCTCTGCAGTCAACATTACAGATAAAGAGGTACTGACAGAGGATGGCCAAACAATTGTCTATGACTATCTCGTCATAGCCACAGGCCACAAAGATCCTATTCCTACCAGAAGGAAGGATAGGATCGAACAGTTTCAGCAAGGTACGGTAAATGAGGAACTATCATACTGTATACTGAAACAAAAGCCAAGATGCACATTTAGCATATTTTTAGAGCTTTGGCTCTTTATCTTCTTACGATTAGTAATTAATAACTATTTTTTATTAAGTTATCTAATATTGGGACACTTCCTGGTAGGATGTTATGTTACATTCAAAATCCCTCCTTTAGCTTGACAAGAGACCAGTAACACCACTTCGAAGTCCCATTAACTTGCAATTAACCTTGAGAACGAGTATTTCCCAGGAGTAAAAGAGAAAACTTGTTAGATACAACATCTTTTTGAAGCTGATAAGAACACCACTTATTTATAGAGACAAAAGAAAACAACTATCCATCTCCTTCAAGTATGGGTTCACAATCAACTTTTCTTCACCGAAAGGAGGAAACTAACTAAAATATTTGATTAGCTAGAGATCTGTACTTTTATTATATAGCCATCGGAAAAGCTCATTTTCCAAATCGCCTTGGATAAAGTGATACGATGATTTTATATAACCAAAGAACAAGACATTGTTTTGCATGCGTAATTCATTGTACTACTTACGTACAACCTAAAGCAGCCAATAACAGTACATTTTATGGCATGAATTCTATTTTACTTTCTTATTGGTGTTAATCTTTGTACTCAGATAACGAAAAGATAAAGTCATCAAACTCTGTCTTAATTGTTGGAGGGGGTCCAAGTGGTGTTGAACTAGCTGCAGAGATTGTTGTTGACTATCCAGAAAAGAAGGTGACTTTGGTCCACAGAGGACCGAGATTGTTGGAATTCATTGGTCAGAAAGCTTCAACCAAAACACTAGACTGGTTGACCTCAAAGAAAGTTGAAGTTCTCCTGAACCAGTCCGTTGATCTCAACTCCACTTCAGAGGATGAGAAGGTTTATGTAACATCAGGTGGAGAAAAGATTGCAGCAGATTGTCATTTTCTTTGTATTGGAAAGCCGTTGGGTTCTTCATGGCTCCAGGAGTCTATCCTAAAGGAGTGCTTAGACAAGAAGGGACAACTGATGGTTGATGAGAATTTGAGAGTTAGAGGCCACAGCAATATTTTTGCCATTGGAGACATCACTGATGTTCCTGTAAGTGGGTTTTCTACTTTTTCTACATAAAAAATACTTTTATTTTCCAAAATTTACAAGACAGTTTTATAGAAGGAAAATCATCTGTATATCTTAGTATTCTCTCTGGGTTGCACAAGTGATCAAGACCTTTTAAATGTTTTGAGTACTGCCGAACTCTTTGAACACGTTAAAGTTTCTTGTTCTGTGGGGGGTTACTCAGGGGTTTGAGGAAGCTGTGGTAAAGAATTTTCAACATTTGAACTATCAAAAAAACAATATACATTGCTTATAAAAAAAAGGTATAAAACAATAGCAATGATGTTCAGCCTGGTCCTTCTATAACAAACTTTTTATTTAACTTTGCTGTAGATGGCAAACATGCATTAGCTTTGTTACTTGGTGCCACCTCATTCGTTTAATTCACCACTGTCATATATCCTATCTAATTATATTCAACCTGCACCTCAAGTTTATTTTGGCCTACGTTAGTCCTTCTGGCTCTACAAACCATGTCCTTATCACTATCCCAGCTGGTGGACTTTCAGGCGTCCATTGTAGATCTCTGGCCATCTCAATCTATTGCCTCATCTATATTATTAACTTGGTCATTTTTTGTGTTTTACTTCCGACATATCTGCTTGGACTTAGATTCACCGAGTTTGTGTCATATATGTGAATCCCCTCCTCCAGTCCATCCTCATTTATGTTACCAATAAGTCCTGGTGATTGTTGTTTTCGTGAATCATGTTTTATCTTGTTGCGTGGCTTAGACATTGATTGATTGTAATATAGTCAATTACAACTTCTTGTAGCAAATTTAATCCTATCTTGCTTGCATGTACAACTTTCAGAATTAGGGAACATCAGCCAGTTTACTCCCTAGACACATGAGCTTGAAGCATATAACCCCATTAATACTACCTGGTGGATACACTCTGCTTCATACTTGCTTTGGATTTTCGCAAGAATGACCTTGCTGTTAACTCTTGTAGATTTATTCATATGCGACTGTTTTGATTTGTGTTTTCATTTGTAGGAAATTAAGCAAGGATTCCTTGCTCAGCAGCACGCTGGTGTGGTTGCCAAGAACCTGAAGCTGTTGATGAAGGGAGCTAAAGAGAGCAAGTTTGTGAAGTATAAGCCTTCTTCGACCATTGCCATTGTTTCCTTGGGGAGAAAACAGGGTGTATTACAATTACCCTTCGCTACATTTAGTGGTTGCATTCCCGGTATGATCAAATCAAAGGACTTATTTGTGGGCAGGACTAGAAAAACATTGGGGCTGAATCCCAATCCTGACGGAAATTGATGGTATAGTTGATTTGAGGAGCTGTTGTCTTACGTAAAATGTATTTGATTGTAAATCTTGAATGTGTGTATTCATTTGCTAAGCTTGGTACGTGTGAAGATAAGGTTGTATTTACCCTTACCATGGGGTAACATTGTTTCAATTAGTGTTTTGTGTTTAGTAGAATTTTTATGTGTTAAAGCTTTTGAAGAGTAGCCTGTGTTACTATTTCTTTTGTCTTAATTGTCCTCTTCATCGGTATGTTTTCCTTGCTTCGCAAAATGTTCTGCTATATGCATAAGTATATAGTTGCACATTCAAAGTATGTAGTTGTACACTATAGCTACAGCTATACACCTTGTAGCATGTAGCTATTAGCTACATGCCTAATTATATCGCGAAGTTATCACGAGATTGTTGGGATTTTGTCTTTGATTCTTTGTGTAACTTCATGAGAATTAGATAGGGTTAGGGTTCTATCATGATTAGGAGTTTAGGTTCTATCATGATTAGGAGTTTAGGTTCTATCATGATTAGGAGTTTGGGTTCTATTATGATTAGGAGTTTGAGTTCTATCATGATTAGGAGTTTAAATCCTATTCTAATTAGGAAGTTAGGCTAGAGATAGGGTTTTGGTTTCCCTATATATATTCTTCTATTGGTGGAGGAAAAACTATGAAGAAAAAGTAGAGATGTGGTAGATGAGAGAGAGAGAGAGAGAGAGAGTTTTGTAGTCTTTATCTGTGCAAAAGATTACAAGAAGTGGGCTTTGGAGAGAATATGAGAGTTGATTATGTATGTGAGGTTGAGAGATTAAGAGACAAGAGTTGAGTGGTTCCTCTTGTAGTTCTCCCTAATACATAGTGAATTTCTCGTATTGTTGCCTCGTGGACGTAGGTCGAAGTTGGTCGACCGAACCACGTAAATCTCGGTGTTTTTTTTATTGTGGTTGTTCTATCTTATTGATTGGGGTTGGCTTCCGAGTAGCGCATATCGTGGTAGGCGGGGAGACTGAAATTCCCCAACAAGTGGTATCGGAGTGATGGTGATGGATCTGGGAGCGAGTTTGCAAGATAGAAGACGACGTCGTGCAAGATTGAAAATCAGCGTTACAAGAATCAAGATGAAAAAAGGGAAAGGTTACTGTAGCAGAACACTGTAGTGCGGCGGGCACTGTTTACGTGGGGATCCGACGGTCCAGATTGATTTTGTAGCAGAACACTGTAGTGCGGCGGGCACTGTTTACGTGGGGATCCGACGGTCCAGATTGATTTGTTAGCCGATTGAGGATTTGGAGGTGGATTTTGGTGATCCAGGAGTCGTTCTTAGGGTTTTTCGACGTGCTGAGTTTGTTTTTGGTATCGGTTTCATCAAATTCAAACTCTACGGTGACTGATTTGAATTGTGATTAGAGGATGATGACTTCTTCGGGTCCGAAATTTGATATTCTGCTATTTAATGATAAGACAAATCTGATGGTAGATAAGAAGCAGGAGTTGGTTGGTGTGTATACTTAAGGAGGACAGTGCCAGATTAGGTGGAGCTTGCAAGCGGGCACAATCGAGTGACACACATGAAGATGAAGATGGTGGCGTTGGACTTGAAGATGGTGAGAGCTCATATTCAGTCCAAGCCAAGTGATAGAGGAGATAAAGGCATCCAACTCGTAGTGTAGAGTAGGAGAGGTGCACCGATATGATTTGAGACGAGCGATGCAGGTGGAGCATAAGGACAACAAGAGAGGTGGAGACGTCACCGCGAAGCAGAAGATAGTGAGGATCATGAAGGCATCCAATTGAAAGTGCAGGTGTTCTGATTTGAAGTGCGAAAGAAATAGAAGACTCTAGCGGGAGAGGCAAAGTTTCAAGACGACGATGATATATCTTCAAGGGAGTTTGGGAATCAAATTCAAGGTGGAGATTGTTAGGATTTTGTCTTTGATTCTTTGTGTAACTTCATGAGAATTAGATAGGGTTAGGGTTCTATCATGATTAGGAGTTTGGGTTCTATCATGATTAGGAGTTTGGGTTCTATCATGATTAGGAGTTTGGATTTTATCATGATTAGGAGTTTGAATCCTATTCTAATTAGGAAGTTAGGCTAGAGATAGGGTTTTGGTTTCCCTATATATATTCTTCTATTGGTAGAGGAAAAACTATGAAGAAAAAGTAGAGATGTAGTAGATGAGAGAGAGTGTGTGTTTCGTAGTCTTTATCCGTGTAAAAGATTACAAGGAGTGAGCTTTGGAGAGAATATGAGAGTTGATTATGTATGTGAGGCTGAGAGATTAAGAGACGAGAGTTGAGTGGTTCCTCTTGTAATTCTCCCTGATACATAATGGATTTCTCGTATTATTGCCCCGTGGACGTAGGTCGAAGTTGGTCGACCGAACCATGTAAATCTCGGTATTCTTTTTTCTTGATTGTGATTGTTCTATCTTATTGATTGGGGTTGGCTTCCGAGTTGCGCATATCATGGTAGGCGGGGAGACTGAAATTCCCCAACGGAGATTTAGGAGGGTTAAACTTAATTTTTTGGATATCTTAATCGCCTTTGATGGTTAATTCTCTTATTTTGGATCTTTGGATTGTTTATCGCTATACAAATAGTAGAGGTTAGAGGCGTCGGATGTTATTTCCTCTAGTGTGCCCTTTGACGCTCAAGTCAGTGACTGTTTATAGTTGACCTGAAAAGAAAAACAGAGTATAGTCTTGTTGATTATTTATGTGTTAAATTGCGCACCTAAATTTTTTTTATAAAGGGTTTACAGGGGAACACAAGTAATTTCAGTCAAGTGTGTGCAGTATTAGCTTAGACCCTACTTTACACATACCGATAGCTGATTGGCCGAGTCGTCCTTACACTGTGATGGGACTGTTGGAATAACGACATGTCCAAGGAGCTTTGAAGACTCTGGCTCGAAAAGTATTTATGACTGACATCACATTAATTGCTTGATGGCGGCTGGGTGGGGAAGTGCGGACGCCGACTGTACATTCATTAAACACAGTGCGACTTTTGATGTCACTCGCCGTTTTGTTCCTCTGCTCGAGACACTTTGTGTTGGGTCCGAGCGGAGAACATCTTTCGTCTCGGAGTAGAACATCAAGTAGAACTCGTGTCGAAAACGCCTTTCATCTTGGATTTGGATCATGAGGCAAGTCAGCCAGCATACCACTCAGGTTGTGCTTGCAAATATTTTGGGAGCCGACCAATTAGTTATAGTACAATGCTCTTATTGTTCTTGATAATTTCTAGGTTATAACATTGACCACTCAGACTTAGAAAACTAAATTTGAGAGAAAATAAAGCACCTTATGCTGGAACCTAGTCCATCCTTGCTAGAAGACAGCTGTGGTTGACATTTCTAACGTCACTACTACAGAAAGCCCTATTAGTAACAACTCAAATTGTTTCAAATAGGCCTATTTGCAATAGTTTCAACCATTGTAATACATTAGCAACGGTTAAAACCATTACAAATAGTCGGTTACTAAAAAGACCGTTGCAATTAGCTCTTTGCAATGGTTTACAACCGTTGCTATACTGTAGAACCATTGCTATTAGGAAATTATAATAAAAATTTTAAAAAGTCACGTCAGCAATTCTCAACTGTTCCTAAAGTTTATTAACAATAGAAAACAACCGTTGCAAAATATTTCAAAATATTAATTTTAATAAATATAATACTGGGGTAAAATATGTCTCTGGTTATTTTAATAAATATTTGTGCCATTGATAATCTTGTTTTTTGCACTAGTTATTTTATTTCCATAAAAGAATTCTTACATTTCAAAGACAACTTATGACAACAATTCCAGTGGGACGAAAAATTCTTCTATCAATTGATAACAATGTCTGATACAACTTTGGCTAATAAGCCAAATAACATGTTAACGGTTCTGTTTGGCCAGATTACAACTAAAAGCTGCGAGATTATAACTGAAAGCTGTTAAGCTAGCTGAAAGCTGTGAAGTTGTAACTAAAAGCTGATAGCTGTGAAGCTAGCTGATTGAAGTAAAGCTGTTTGACAAAAGTAGTTGTACAACTAGATTAGATTTGTTAAATGACTAAAAAGGACATGCAATATTATTGATATAAAATTAGAATTATTCAACACTCATTTATTTATTTACCTACTTATTTATTTATTTATTTACCTACTTGTGTGTGTGTGTGTAGAGAGAGAGAGCAAAACTTGTGTCAACTTAAGTTTTGTTTAAATAATCTAATTAGAGTTATCATGTTCTTTAAAAATAAACTAATCAAGAGGCATGAAAATTATTTAAAACAAAGTATTATAATTTTCTTTTTAAAACTTTTAATTAAATATTTAAGTTGAGCTTAGTTTTGTTTAAGTTGAGCTTAGTTTTGTTTAAGTATAATGAAAAGATTTTCTAAGAAATTTACTTTAGAGTTATGCATAAAAATATTTTCTTTAGTATAAACTAACTCTAATTAGATTATTTAAAGATACAACGTGAATTAATTATATATTGACTTCTTCAAATTAGCAAATTGATTAAATTTTATGGGTGCTGTTTGTTGGAAAATTTGTACTAAAAGGATTGAAAGAAAATTGACTTGTATTCCTTCGATCTCAATTACAATTCGATTATAAAAGAGAGAAAAATGAATTTGATTCTCCCTTTTGTTTAAAACTGGGTTCTTCTCGGTAGCGATAGAGTGTCTCCTTCGAATATTTGCGTCGAATTTGCTCTCCGTTGACGATCCGACCGTCTTGTATCTCGTGGGAACAATGAACTTATGTGGTAAATTTGAGGAATAACTCTTAACGAGTTTTTAGAACTCCGAACGAGCTAGAACTCTATGAAAAGAGTTGTTAAAATCGAATAATCGGTTGATAAGCCAAATAGATTTGTTTGTTGCTGAAGAATCTGATCTTTTAACTGCCAAGAACTCTACTGATTTCAGAAATGACTTGATCTTCGAAATCTAGTCGAACCCTCCCTCGATCTGAACTCCGTGTAGTTTTGATCTCCCCAATCTTCAACCTCTTTACTCAGTTGAGTAAGGCTGTTATTTATAGGTGGATATGGGGTGTAACTAACCCCTAAATCCGCTCCTAAGTGGGCGAAAATCCCTCAAATCGTGGGGGAATCGGTTCTGAAATCGTTCGACTCGTTTTTGAATAAGTCAAACGCCCAACTCGGCGTTCAGGACCCTAACTTCGCATCTTAGAAAAACGC